TCCCAGTTCCCTCTCCCTCCTTTCTTCCTTCCCTCCCTCCCTCTCATACTTCCTGACCCCTCCTATTCCTGTCCCATCCCCCCCACTCCACAGGGAGGGTGAATCCTTCTAGGAGGGATCATCAAAATTTGTCAAGTCATTTGGAGTAGGTTCTAGGCCCTCCCTCCTGCCTCTAGGTTGAGGGAGTATGTCTCCATGGGGAATGTGCTCCCAAAGTCCTTTGGTGCACCAGGGATACATCTGGTTCCACTGTCAGAGGTCCCATAGACTGCCCAGGCCTTCTAACTGAGCTCCATGTTCAGGAGGTCTGGGTCGATCCAATGCTGGTTTCCCAGCTATTAGTCCATGAGCTCCCCCTTGCTGAGGTCAGCTGTCTCTGTGGGTTTCTGTAGTCTGGTCTTGACCCCTTTTCTTATCACTCCTCCCTCTCTACAACTGGATTCCAGGAGTTCGGCTCAGAGTTTAGCTGTGGGTGTCTGTTTCTGTTTCCATCAACTACTAGATGAGGGCTCAATGATGCCATATCAATCTCATTATCAGGAAAGGGCATTTAAGATAGCCTTTCCACTGTTGCTCAGATTGTTAGTTGGGGTCAGTCTTGTAGGCCTCTGGACATTTCTCTAGAGTCAGTTTTCTCTTCAAACCTATAATGGCTCCCTCTACTATGGTATCTCTTTTTTTTTGCTCTTGTCTATCCGTCCACTGACTCAATTTTCCTGGTCCAACATGTTCTCCTCTGCTCTCAATATGCTCAGGAGATCTTGTTCCTTTCCCCTTCTGTGAGAGACCTTGTGTGACTCTCTTAGGTTCCTCCCTGTATCCTAGTTTTTCTGCTTGCCATGATTATTGACTCAATCTTTAATGTAGATATACAGCTATCTTAAATGATGCACACAAAAATATACTTTATGATAAATTTTAACACCCAGGAGCCACTAATTTGCATCCTTGCTGAAATTTTGCAATACTTAAATGTTATGAATTAGAATTTATAATATAAATGTTCTTGCAAGATGACTGACTCCAGCTGTGGGCTCAGCTTTTCTTTCAGATCCAAGGTCCTCTCATTTCTCATCTGGGCTGTTGTAATAAACACTGCTCTCTTATCATTGCTCTTCATATTTATAGTGGAAGCCAATCATCACAATGGCTTCTAAGTTTTACACTGTTCATCCTTATGCCTGTGTAGTGGCTCTCTTCCTGTACCCCCTTTTCTACCTTAAACTTATCTTGGATACCAGCAACTCTGACCTGGTCATAACCTTTTAAAAATGTTTCTTCACTTTCCTTTCTTGCCTTTTTTTAGTTCACTAAACCAATTTCATCTAGTAGCAGTATTATCCTTGTCTAATATACTGTATGTATGTATGTATGTATATATACACACACAATATGTATGTATGTATGTATGTATGTATGTATGTATGTATGTATGTATGTATGTATCTTCTCTCCAACCAGTAGAAAAAAATACTTGTTGCCAGAAATATCTGAAGCTTTGTTCTCTGCTTTGTTTAAAATACCTGTAAGATGGTAGATTGTCAATACATATTTGAATTGTCTAGGAACAGTCTATGAGATCCCAAGCATTAGTAAGTAGGCTAGATTTCCCTGGGTCTCCTGCAGGGGAGTGGAACAAGATAGTTTATGTGGAAGATTTTCTCCTTCTAATTACTCCTTTCCTGGGAATTGTAGCCAAATTATTTTGACTCAAGAGAATTGCTCTTTTTGGGCTGCTGTTTCATTTATTCTTTGAGAATTTTGTGCATTTTTTATTATATTCATCCCTCCTCCAGCTCCTCTCAGATCTCCCCCCTTTCCAACCCAACTTTGTGACCTTTTTTCCCTCCATCAAATCCAATTTGTGCTGCCCATATATTCTTGGATGTGTGGCCTTCCAGTGCAGTAGGATCGATTTACCAAGGGCAAAACTCTTAAAGAAAACTGACTTTTGTCTTCCAACAGCTATCAATTGCCAATAGCTCCTTTGCCAGAGGTGGGACATCATGTCCACTCTTCCTTTCCATGCAGGGGTTTTGTCTGGCTTAGGCTTGCATTGGGCTTGTGCATGGTGTCTCAATTGCTGAGCTCATGCATGCAGATGGCCTGTTGTATCCAGAGAACACTGTTTTCTTGCATTCATTAATTCACCACCTCTGGCTCTTATCGTCTTCCAATGACACTTGAGCCCTGGGATGAAGCGATGTGATATAGATATTCTATTTAGGGATGAGCATTATTCAGTCTCTTGTTCTCTGCACTTCGACCAGTTGTGGGTCTGTGTTCATTTGCATATATTGTAAATAAATGCAAATCAATTTCTCTGATGAGGATTGAGATATGCCTTAGTCTATGGGTATAACAATGAGTTAGGATTTGGTTTAATACTATGTTCATTTAGTAGAATAATGATAGTAGGTTCTTCCTTAGAATCTATGACCTATCTAGCCACAGATTAATGGCCTGACAATGGTGCCCAGGAATGGATTTCATCTTGTATAGTGGGACTTAAATCCAATTAGAAAGTGGTTGGTCACTTGATGTTCATGCTGCTATTATACTAGCAAGCTTGTCTTGCCAGACCAGACATTATTGTAGATTCCAGGGATTATTGGGGAGCTTCTGCCTGGTTCCATAGTCGCCTTGCCCCAAATGAACACTCAGAGACTTATTTATGAAACTGTTGGGCAATGAGTAGGGCTACTTATTGGCTAGCTCTGTCTTAACTATTAACCCATTTCTATTAACCTTAAGTATTTCCACATGGTCTTATTGGAGACAGGTCTGGATCTCTTACCCCTTTGCAGTCTCCATGGCAACTGACTGACTACGTTTCCCAGAATTCTCTTTATCTCCTAGACCTTTCTATCTTGCTGCCCTATTCACCAACAATATTTTATTCATCATCCAATAAGAAAAAAACATATATACAGAAGACATCCCCATCAAGGGTTCACAGCTAAGATTGATGATTATTTTTCTCCTTTGGTAGTGTGCAAAGTTAGCCAGTAGGGATGAATACTTGAAGTCAGTACCAGCTTGATATATCCATGCTCTGTGACTCAAATACATGGTGTCTTCAGTATTAGAGTCTTATCATTACGTTACAGAAGTTGATCAATAACACAGTAGCCTATAATATTTTGGGTGGGGGGTGTCCATGTCACTTGCTGGCCAACAACGTCAAAAGAAATAACCTGTTCTTGGCACTTAAAAAAATATTAGTCTGTGATGTCTAGTAGACGCATTGTCATACTGTTAGAGGGTAGACCTACTTTATCTATCTGTCTGTCTGTCTATCTATCTATGTAAATTACTTTAGGAAGCTTCTACCATAGTGGGTTTCCATATGGCTTTTCGAAAGACCTTTAGAGTTATATTCCTTCCTTTCCCTTGCCCTTCCATCTTGTCCCCATTTAATCCCCCCACTTTTCCTATTTTCTCTTTATAATACTATATTCTATTTTTCCTTCCTTGGAAGATTCCTTTATCTTCCCTTGTCCCTTACTAGCTGTCCAAATAACATCTACATATCCAAGTAAACATGCAATATGTTTTCTGTTTGGATCCAAACTGACGGCAAAGTCCTATTGCTAAAGACATAATTTAGATCATCAAACATGGAGAAATTGAGCTGGCACTCAAGTAGTAGCTTCACTCCTACTGACTGACTAGTGTTTATGGTGTTGGAAAGTACTTTGCATTACTCTGGTAGGAGGAGAAAAGTAATCAATAGCAAGTCATGATGGTTGTTTCAAGCCCCATCAATTTATATGCAAAGTTCATTTTTCTTAACATCTAAATAATATTCCATTGTGTAAATATACCACACTTCCATTATTCATTCACTTGTTGATGGGCATCTTGACTGTTTCCATTTCCAGGCTAGTATGACTAGAGTAACAATGAACATAGATAAGCAAGTACCACTGCAGTAGAATATAGTCTTCTGGGTATATGAACAAGAGTGGTATAGCTGGACCATGTGGTAGATTACTTTTAGTTCCTTTGGCAATCTCCACACTGATTTCCATAGTGGCTGTATCAGCTTGCACCCCCGCCAGCCATAAATAAATGTTTCTCTTGCCTTATGTCTATACCAGCATTTTTTTCATCATTTTGCTTTTTCCTTATCTATTCTGAGTGGGGTAATTGTAAAGTAGTTTTAATTTGCATTTCCTTGATGGCTTAGGATATTGAACATTAAGAAAAATGGTTTTTAGGAGTTTGTATTTCATCTTTTGATAACTCTGATTAGTTCCATGCAGTTGTTTTTTGAATTAGGTTGTTTTTTTGGTTTTAATTTTTTGAGTTTGTTTAATCTAGATACTCTCTGTTACATAGCTGGTAAAGATTTTCCCCCATTCTGTAAGCTGCCTCTTCACTTGAATGATTGCATTTTAGTTTTCTTGAGGTCCTATTTATTGATGATTGGTCTTTTAAAATTTTATTTATGTGTATGGATGTTTTGACTGCATGCATGTCTGTGTACCATTTGTGTGACTGGTGCCTGGTACCTGGTGCCTGGTGCTAGAGGAGTCAGAAAAGGATGTTGAATCCTCTAGGACTGAAGTAACAGATAGTTGTGAGTTATTATGTGGGTGTTGGGAATGAATCCAGGTCCTCTGGAAGGATAATCAGAGTTCTTAACCACTGAGCCACCTCCCCCACCCCAGCTTCCAAATGGTTGCTCTTACTTCCTGTGCTATTAGAGTACTGACCAGAAAGTCTTTCTGTGCCAATAAGCTCAGGAATATTCCTTACTTTCTCCTCGCTTAGATTCAGGGCATCAGGTTTTAAGTTGAGTCCTTGATCTATTTGGAGTTCAGTTTTGTGAAGTGTAAGAGATAAGGACCAAGTTCCATTCTTTTCCATGTAGTTATTTGAGTTGACTAACAGTATATTTGGTTAGCACTAAAAACATGATATTTAGGTTAGTGAGGCACCATCAAGCACACCGATCAAGTTAATGAAAATCTGAAATTAAGACATACAAACATATTCTTACGTGGCAAGGGAGATACCATGATCACCAAGGTAGCTTTCCCAGGGCTAAGCTTATCCACTGAACACCATATGTGCTGACCCCTGTGATCTCTCCAAATGTGGGAAACTCAACTGCATATTTTGTAGTAGTTGGGGCAAGGGGGAAAGTGTACAAAAGTCCCAGGACATGGTGGCTCACACCTATAGTCCCATTACCTGAGGCTGAAGTAAGGTTGCCTTGAGTTTGTATGAGTCAACCTGGGCTTCATTGTGAGTTATAGGTCAGCTTGGATTATGGAGTGAGATTTTGTGTCAATAAAAAGAAAAGAAAATAGTACAAATGATGAAAAAGAATTTTGAGAAAAAGTCTTATTAAATTGATTTTTAATTAAAACAATTTTATTAATGTATTTATTTAAAGTGCTTTTTAATGGTAATGTCTTCAAATGATATGAACTCAAAGAAGGAACTGAACCCATCCTCCCACTTCCCTTCAGTTGCTAACAGGCGCCACTACCATCCCAGCAATGATGGTAGGCTAATTTATTGTCAAAATGGTGGATTATCCAGGCTTCCTTATCCTTTGCTTGCCTCTAGACTTTTGGACATTTCTCAGCTTGTTATGTCTCACTGTGGTAATATAATATAAGTTGAAATTAAGGTAGTCAATGTTACAACTTCTAGTAAATAGCTGGGTGGAGGGAGAAAAAACAATTAGTGACTGGAAGGAAATTTAGAGTCCAAATGGATTGTAGTTGCGTGCATTTCATTAGCACACATAATTGATAGCAATGCTAATGCATTAGAATGATTATTCTTTAATGCTCAGCTTGCATTATTAGCACACGTGTATTTCATTAACATACATAAGCAAGACCATTTATACATGTGGTAGCAAATGAGCTTTTAAAAGTCATTTTGTAGTTAGTGCACATTTGTAAGGCCCATCCACTAGTGTATGTAAATGTAAACACTTCTGCATGCTATGCTGACATCTTTAAGTAATTGGAAATTCAGTATAGAAGTTGTGTCCAGCCTTAAGACCAATCTCAGTTAAAAGGTTATACCTTTTAATAGCTGAATAGGCTGCCCCCTCAGACATACCTCAGAGCAGAGAATTTATTATATAAGGTACGATCTCATTGGGTATGCAAGGTAAATAACCTCATTAAGAATGGAATCTGAAGGAGACACAGTACTATTCAAATAGGGCAAAAAGGGGGCAACAAGGTAGAACAAAGGCAGTTATGAAAGTCAACCACTGCTTTATTTTGTGTTGAATAAAATAGATTACCAGGGCTGCTACTTAAAATCGAGAAGAGCCAAAGAAAGAGCCCTGGGCAGATTCATCCTTTTGTTCAAAGCAATGGATTAGAACATAGCCTGTTGGTCATGAATTAACTGAACAATTCCCAAAAGGTAGAAAACGTTTATTTCACAAGTGTATCTTTAAAGGGCTGTGAAGAAAAACATCCTCTTGGGTACGTTTCCCTCAAATGTGGGCATCCCTGATAGATGATTTGATCGCTATTTTTATGTTTCCCATGCCTTCTCTTATGCTAGAATTTCTCTTTTTAATTGAAAATAAAGTATTCTCATACATTATATTCTAGTCATGGTTTTTCCTCCCTTATTTGTTCCAGATCCTCCCAGCCTCTCTATCCTTCCAACTCCATGCCTCCTTTTTCTTTTTCTTAACAAAACAAACAGGCAAGTAAAAAAAGACAAACAAGCTAGATAAAATGCAATGAACAATCTAATGAAAGGAAGGAAGGAAGACCATGAGAAACACACACACACACACCAACTCAAAACCATAATATATAAGCAAAAGACAAGCAAGGTTAAAAAAATTCTCAGACACAGTAATATGAGACAGAAATTCTCTCAAAATCCTTTGCGTTCATTTCTTGTTGGCCATACTTCTGGGTATCAGGCTTGTCTTTAGTGTGGTTCTTTTGGAGAAGCTAAGTTTCCATTTTGGAGTTGTTAGTTGGAGATAGCTTGAGTTGGGGCTGGGAGCTTGTGTCTATTTCTCCTTCTCAGTGCTGAAACCATGTCTGGTTGTCCTCTGACTTTTACATATAGCTTATGGTGTGTACATGAACGCAGGTGTGCACACAAACAAGTGTAAAATATTGAATTGGAGCCTCTAGAACAAAACATTTCTAAAATAGAAAAGCTAGTTGGATATTGGAGGTTATTTTGTTTAGGCTTACCTTTCCAGACTGTCAAAAAAGAAGTCACATAGAACACTTAGATATCTCCTGTCTTCTAGAAATACTTTATTTACATTTGAACACAACTTTTCCAGTAAAGTATATTCCATGTTTCCACGTTACTAATTAGCAAATAGGAGAAAGGGCCTAATACAATTTAGGAGGCATCTGTTGGTCATACACGATATATTCCCAGGCAATTATTTAATCTAAAAACACTGGTAGGGGACTGCAGAAAGTTTCACAACACAGAATTTAGGTCTTAACTACTACCAAGAGAAAAGTAGCCATGTGCTTAGTCTCAGAAGCACTTGTTTTTTTTCCCTTGTTTCTACAAATCAGTCCCAATTCTTCATTCTATCCCTATAAACAGTCTGTCCCTACCTATCTTATTACTATGATAATGTATTCATTTTTTTCAAGATAAAAATGATTATCTTTTAAAGAAACATGTTGGCTTTTGTGGTATTACTAGGTTTATTTTTTGTTGATATTTTTATTACAAATGCTTAAGCTTTGGGAGGTCTAATCTTGATTCAATTTACCCACTAAGTCAAGCGATACCATACACATGACATTTCTTGAGCCATACATATCTCCCAGGAGAATCTGTATCTTGTTTGTTTGATGAGTGTTCTTGTGGCTGTTATGACTGGGTATCATCCAGAAAGTACCTAAGGTTTAGAGTTTATCAGAATGTCCTCAAAACTTTTTAAAACTTTTGTAGCTTTAGTGGGTTTTAAGTTTTTCAAAATTCTTAGGTGAAAATATGAAGTATATGTTTTATGATGGAATTTTCATAAATAAATGCCATTATACTTTGTTCTAGGTTGTTACCCTCTTTTCTGTCCTCTGTCTATGGTGATGTCTTGTCTGTACAAATAACAGTTGTGTGAAGATCAGTGGATGGAGCTTGCCACTAGCTAACTGTAGAGGTGTGGAGGTCTGTCAGACAGACAGGAAGTGAGATGGCTGGGTGGAGGCAGGAATATTGGTGGGAGGAAACGAACTCAATTGTCTTTTCTACTGGGAAACTAGTGAGGTAAGGGTGGCTTTGGCTTGCTCCGTCTTCTCCTGATCTCTCAGCATTTTCTCATATTTATCTGACTCTGGGCTTTTATTATTAAGACCTACTAGAATTCGTGATAAATCTGCCCCCTCCCCACCTTTGACTGGTTCTCTTTCCCTCCAATATTCCCTGTTCTGCCTTTATATCACAAGCATTTCATTATCTTCTCTTTCTCTCCCCTATTTCTTTTCTTCCATGAACATGATCCCCCTTCTAGCTTCACACACACAAATATAAATACATACATGCATGCACATACAATAACTTTATATATAGGTTTTGTCTATGAGAAAACATGCAGGGACTTAACCTTCTGAGTCTGGCTTATTTCACTTAATACAATCTATCCATACATAGTCGTATAGATGTCATTATTTCATTTTTCTTTACAGATAAATAAATTTGGACTATATATAAGTACAACATTTTCCATATCCACTCCTCTGTTGATGGATATTAGAATAGTTTCATTTCTTTTCTATTGCAAAAATGCAAATGTAAGTTTTCAAAATGATCACCAATGATTATCTGGATTTCACTGGAATCTATGAAACCTGTTTCAATCTTTAATTTTATTAAATTGCAGAATCAACCCTTTGATTGATTCTACTCATTCTTTTGTCTTTATTACAATCATTTCTGCTCTGAAATCTAATTCTTGCTATCTACTACTTTGAGGTTTGAATTGTTGGTGTTTTTCTAGAATGCCTGGGCACAACATTAAGCTATTTCTTTGTGGTCCTTCTTATTTCTTAATGTAAGTACTTGCAAGTATAAATTCCTTTCTTAGAACTGTTTTAGCTATTCTTAGCTGGATCTCAAAGGTTCTGGTAACCTACTTTTTCATTCTCTTTGAGTTCCTCCATGATTTCTTCAGTAACCTACTGACCATTTAAGAGTGTATCACTCAGCCTCCATGTATTTGTGTAGTTTTTATGCTATTGGATTCTAGTTTTATTGCAGTATAAGCTAATAAAGTAAAAGCAATGGTTGCAATGATTTGTGATTTAGAATGAGGTCTATTTTAGAGACAGTGTATGCACTAACAGAAAGAATGTGTATTCTGTATTTTCCATGGGATATCCTTTATATACCTGTTAAGCCATTTTCTCTGTGGTGTGGTTTAACTCTGAGGTTTCCTTGAGCTTTTATTTGAGATGACCTATTAGAGTTGAGAGCACCACCCACTGTTATATCAGAATCCATCTTACCCCTTGTATGTGCATTGATGTCTGTTTGGTGTATGTATATGTAAACTTGTTATATCTTCTCCATATATTTCTTCAAAGTTCAGAAGTTCCAAAAACTTTTAGTCTTAGTGTAATGTTCATATCCTTCAGCCTTCCCTTCCTCAGTGAATAAGAATGTATAAAATGTTACCAAAGAGTAGAAAAGTACCTTTTCTGAACTTTTTTTTTTCATCTTGACCATTTCCTCTCTATTCTTTCTTTGCCTTTTTTCTAAATTAAAAAAAATTCTTATTTTACATATCAATCCCAGTTCCCTCTCCCTCCCATCCTCCCAAGCCCTCCACCAACACCCCCATCCACTCCCCAGGGAGGGTGAGGCCATCCATGAGGGATCATCAAAATCTGCCAAGTCATTTCAGGTAGCCATCAGAAGTAATTCTTGGTGCCAAGAACATGGTTAGTTGCCCAAATCTACTGAAGAGAATTCTGAAATAGAATCTTAGCTTTTGATCCCTCCCCCTGCCCACTGCTCTAGTCCTCAAGACTCTTACTCTGTCTATGGATGCTTTTCATAGCTAAGAACACAGAGTGATTATATACATGTGATCCTGTGAGTGCTATTTCACCTCAACACAGATACAGTTTCCTGAAACACCCAGTGTCTAAAGAAACCCTATATGTGACACACTATGTTAACATTCCCAAA